CTTGAAGGATTGTAAAAAAGACGAGAAACCGTCATAACGCTGTTGTTCATTTCGGTTGCCGCGGCGCACCGCACAGACCACAAAAGTAACTACCCAACTGAATACCATATTTTTCATGTTTCATCAATAGAGGGTAGGGAACGGATCCATGAAAACCCTTTCTTTGCAGCCAACGGACATATGGAAGTGTTCAGGTTAGACCAATATCCCCGCCAAAGCAGGGGCACTCCCGTGAACGGTACACATCACTGTTCAAATAAGGCGTCGTATTTCTTCTTGAACCCAGCAACTGTGTCGGCAGCAACAACATCGGGGGGGAAAGATTGTTCCGTGCATTTACGGCGCGCCTTGTTAGTCGATAGATGTGCGGGAGGCCACCTGTTCGTTGTACCACCAGTTTGAAACAGTGTCCGCGCGTAGGCGTATCAACGGCCAGTTTGAAGTACTGTGCGATCCCCGGAATGTCACCGCAAACGATCACTTTGTACAATATGATTTGGTCGCCTCTGGAGCGTCGAAATTCGAGGGTAAACAGGTCCAGTGCTTTACAGCACTCCGCAGATGTCAGCCTCCTCAATTCGGACAACATTCTTGACTCCAGCTGTTGTACATATTCGATACCGGTCATCTCGCCCTTCGTACACGGGAACCAAGCACCTTTAAGTCACTTAATTTGTCACTTTATTAAGGGAAGAAGGCTTTCGCACTGGTGCTTGGATACTTTAAACCTATTAAGGAAAGTTGGGGGTGATTCCATCGATAGGAAAGTCGGTAAACATTGTCGCAATGTACAATGAATATGGTACATCAAAAATTAGTGCAAAGGTTTCAATGAAAAAAAATTAAACTATGTTTATTTTCGAAACATTAAAACAGTACACAACTTTTAAAAGGAAACGGCAAAGCAAATAAAACAACAGCCTATGTAAGAGTGAATAACATTAATAACTTATCCCGTGACTTTCATGACTTAGTCCATTTTAATGCGGCATTTTTCTACATTTCGCATCACCGTTTACAAAAAGGAACGGTTTCGTTCAAAAAGCAAGTTTTAAATGTCCTCACACGCTTTTATTAATTGATTTTAGTTCAATGGTATTGACGATTAGCTTGTTTCTTGCGTCAGTTGTTCTGTGTAAGAAAATTAAGACCTCGACATGCACGATAACGCTTAGGAAAAATATGAAGCATGGTGTAGCGACTTACTTTAGCCACAGAAGCTGCAATTGAATTTTGCGACTTAATCGAAAGTATCGTAACAAGATCTAGATTCCTCCTCTTGCACTCCGCTAGTGCAGCGGAGAACGACAGTTTTGCGTCAAGTATGGTCCACGAAACAGTATTCCCGTCTTCATCAGTAAAATCTTTGGCAGATTTTATCAAAATATAAAAAAAATAGGTACTGTTGATAAAATTCCGGTCTCCTGAA